GAAGAAGAAGGAGAGAGAGAGCGAGAGAGAAAGAGAGAGAGAGAGAGAGAGCGAGAGGGGGGAGAGCTTGTTTTCGTTTATTAATGATTACTTGTAAGAGTATGTATGTGTTCGGGGGGTAATGCTTGTGTGTATTTTTGTTGTTTGTTTGTTTGATTGTTTGGCTAGTTGGTTGGTTGGTATTTTTGCGACTGAGTGTGATGCATGAGTTGTGGTAAGTACAAATGTGTACCCGCTCGATGGGTTTTGAACACTCACAAGCACAAACGACCATGCAACCTGGTGTTCAGTTTGTTCGTCTAAAATGAAGTACATTGTCATGTACTTTAAGTAATCATAAAAGTAGAGTGAAAAGAAAAATAGACGGGTGGGGCGTGGGTTGGGGGGAGGGGGGAAACCAGTGAAAAGAGGCATACTGGCCAATGAAAAGAGTGGGGCTCCATATTCGTGTGTCAACGAGGATTCTATCTATACATAACAAGCGGGGCACTCCCAGATCCAAATTAATTTCCTCCTACTCTTTATTGTCGAGGATGTCTGCCTCCCAACCCTCTCAACATGTCTCTCTGTTCCTCTTCATTGTGTTACCTGTGCGATGACAACGAGCTGGCCCTGGCAGTGAATGCGCAACAACCGTTTTACCCGGTGTTTAAAAAAAAATATTTTTTTTATAAAGGGTTGTCTGAAAACGTTCGGATAAATGGTGTTACTGTTATGATAATATTCAATGCCTCTCGTATATCTCAAGCAGGTGGGTAGCTAGTGGTATGTCTATTTGGGAGTTTGATTGATCCTAGGGGGCAGGAATAGTTAAGTAGAGCGCCAATGACTCGTTTCTAGAATTCTGTTTTTAAAAAATAAGGTTTACTTTTCTGTTTTCTTTTCATATTGTATTGTGCTCCCAGATTTTTAACGCTGGTCTACATTGCGAGTTTTGGTACCAGACTACGCGAAGGTCTCACTTTCCTTTCTGCCCTTTCTTTTTCACTGAAAAAAGGTGGATTTTGTTGGGGGGGGGGGGGACTTTGTCGAAAACAACTGCGACAAACGTTTAAATCAAGCCATAAAACCAGCACTATATTTCACCAAAAAAGACTTTGAACACCATCTTGTCGGTTTGCTTCTTTTGACACGAACTTTGTTCTCAATCCAGCAGTCTGCCGGTCCTCCTGTGACATGCTCCTGCTTGTGTTTGAGTGACTGTTCCCGTGTTATCGTAATCTGCTTTGGGGCCCACACAGAACTTAACCGTGTGGATAGTTTCCCAAGCCCCCCCCCCCCCCTCTCTTCCGAGTCTCTTGAATTACACTGTCCTTTTAATCTCTATGTTAGTCTTGTTGTCAAGTTAGTACTTAGTCGATGTTACTGTTTCGTGTGAGGTTTTTTGGTCTTAATTCTGGGGAGGTGGCTCGGAGTGTTTGGAGAAAGTGTGTTAGTTGGTGGTGGATTTTTGTTAATGCCCTTTGGTTTTTTAAGTATTGCTGCTGTGGTAATCTCCTTTCTAAAGCTTACCAGACTCAAGAATACCTGACTTAAGATTGCGGCTATTGGTGTTGAGCTCACACTCAGCAGCCCTCATTGCGTCGGCGTGTTTCTCGTGCATGACTCGAGAGGGTCATCGCTGCCTTAAAACCCACCAACTCAGCGCTGTGGGCCCCTCTTTTGAGCACAGGCGCAAACACTTTTTCCTAAAACCCGTTTTTGTCGTATCTCCCTCGTCTCCTTCCCGTTTTAGTTCTGTGTGTGTGTGTGTGTGTGTGTGTGTGTGTGTGTGTGTGTGTGTGTGTATGTGTATGTGTATGTGTGTGTGTGTGGAACATCCTAACTCCTATCCCATGAATCCATCTACAGATTATTATTGGTCGTGTTAGTTGGTGTTTTTTTTTGGTTTAAAAAAAGGGGGGGGGGGTGCTCCAAGTTTCCCCGAAGACAACTTTTGGTGTTTTTATTTCCCAGTGCCTATTATTTTCTTTTCTTTTTTCAATTTTCAAAAACGTTTTTAGGAAACTATGCGGGGATTGGGTTCGTTTCCACTCACAATGACTTTGATTCTTCAGTTTTTAGTTTTGTATTTTCCTCATCATTCTTTCACTTGGTATATTCTTATGCTATTCTTGTCTTTTTTCTTTTTTCAGACCAACATAGCGGCAACCATCCAATGCAACACTCCCCGCAGCTAATTTCTGGATACATCACTGCCGACGACTCCGGTAGAAAGGTGAGCCCTTTGACAAATTACATGAATAGCAGTACCGTAGCAAGACATACTCGCTGTCTTCCTTTTGGACGCTTAATCCAAATCGCCATGAGCGCAATGCTTGCATGGAATTTTTCATGTAAAAAAAGTGCTTTAAATAAAATAAGAAAGAAAACAAACCAGAGTCACAAATCCATGACGGGGGTTGTCAGCTTGGCCAATGCACAGTGTAGAAAAGCTGTGACATAAAGAAAAAGAAATGTATGAAATATCCGGAGTGATGAAAGGATTAAAGCTGTTTAAATAGGGGTCTCTCTCCAGATGTCGCTATTTCTCCGTGGCTAAGGCATTGTATCGAGGGATCCTCTCCCCCTGGTTAAATAAGGATAGGGGAGAAGTAGATCTCAGTGAACAAGGAGATCCCCCAATATCGTTTTTCGATTCTCAATATTTGAAGGTCTAACGGCGAACATGCATATCATTAAGGATAAACGTTAGAGCCAATCAGAGGCCTAGTAACAAATGTGTGGTTTGAACACATGTTTCTGGCTTGTTTCTCTACTTGGGCTATTCTCCATTTCCTACTTTTCCTGCCTTTTTGTTTTTGAATATTTCAAGACTACGTGTCTGTCGAAAGGGTATTGTAACGTGAATCAGACTCACGGCACTGAGCACTAATGGAAGGATGAACAGACAGACAGACAGACAGACAGACAGACAGACAGACGGACAGACAGACAGACAGGCAGGCAGGCAGACAGACAGACA